TATATTCCTCCTTGCTGTATAAACTTACATAGATATATAAATAAATCATGTGTCCTGGTCTCGTTTTCTCTAGAGAACCCTACCTAACACATTTATTAAAATAAAAAAGAAAATACTAAAGATTTGGGAAACATTAAACCATAGCAATGAAGAAAATGGCAAGTAAATCCACACACAAAATGATCCCAGGAGAGAAAGTAATGTGAAACAATGAAACCAGCAGCATCAAACACAGAGACAGAAACATTCTAAATACCCATCAGTGGAAGAATGGATAAAGAATGGTACATGCATACAATGGAACATATGAAATATTAAAATACTATCAGTGAGCCAGCAAATACCTCATAACAGGGATTAATTTGGAAGTTATTATGCTTTTTTTGTTTGTTTGTTTTTAAATCATTTTATTGGGGGCTCATACAACTCTTATCACAATCCATACATACATCAATTGTGTAAAGTACATTTGTACATTCGTTGCCCTCAACATCCTCAAAACATTTGCTCTTCACTTAAGCCCTTGGCATCAGCTCCTCATTTTTACCCTGGAAGATATTATGCTAAGTGAAATTATTTTTCCCCTGGAAGATATTATGCTAAGTGAATATTTTCCCCTGGAAGATATTATGTTAATTGAAATTATTCAATCACAAAAGGACAAATATTGTATGAGATCACTGTTGTAAAAAGTAAAAAACACTTTTCACACTAAAAAAAGATGAAGAAGAAGAATGTCTGGCATAAATTGAACAAGATCAATTGATAAATGACATAATTTTTAATAGGTGTTTCATACCCAAACTTGAGAATTAAGTTCAATCCTTTATTGGTAGTGGCAGACCACATACAGATTCTAACATAACAAAAAACCCTTTCAACCTACCTTTGTATGCTTTAACACAAATAAAATTTGGGTTCAAGTTTGCTGAACCATATTTTGTATTCTCATTAACGGAACTGATCACCTAATAACCTACCAGTAGATGAACCTGACGGTACCTAATAGGAAGTGGCTTCTTCACAGATGATCTTAAATTAGAGCCCAACTGGTTACTTTTGCCAGAGCTAACTATTTGTGAAACTGTTTAAACTGTAGATACAATTTATGGCTAAGTTGCTTCATCCAACACAAGACAGATGGCTTCAGCACATTTTAAGTCATCCTGTAATGAGGTGCCATGCTGTGGAACTGAGAGATGCATGAAGAGTAGGCAAGTCCAGCAAAAGAGTTGGCAATCATAAGGATATGGAGGTGTGAGGTGGGTGAGAAAAATCTGCGTTTGGGTCTAAAAAAAGGCAGATAAACTGATCATAACAACACCAGCTTTTCCTAAGAATATATAGCTTAAAATTTGAAAATTCTGAAATACAGATAGGATTCCACCTGGATGACCCAAAATAAATGGTCCAAAAGTTAAAAATAACCAATATTATTTAAAATGTGTATTCAAACTATTCTATTAGAAGGAAGATAGCTAGAGAGCTGTCAACAAGTCAGCTTAAAGTCACAGTTACCTTACGGGCAATAGTATAAAACATGGCCTGGCTTGTATCATCTTCCTCATTGCCCTCATGGGCAAGCTTACAGTTGTAACTATTGTGTCCATTCCTTCTCACCAAGAATTTCCTTGGTCCTCCGCTTCACCAAAGATGACCTTCAGCAGTAAATGAGTTGTATAGTATTCTGCTGTAATCTAGGTTTTCATTGGCTAATACCGCCAGCCTTTTCTTCCTAATTTGTCTTAGACTGAAAATTCTGCTATAATCTGCCCTCTATAGGTGACATATCCTGGTGATATAACTTCTAGTATCACAGCCACACACAAGCAACCACAGTAAAATAAACTGACAGATGGGAAGGGGACAAAAAGAAAGGATAACTCCAGATAATATATGAGTACTTCCCCATATGTTATTTTAAAATAGCTTTATCTTTTTAGAAGAGAAAACAGATGAATATATTAAATTATTTCTCCAAGACTTTATAGCTAGATCAGTGGGGAGGTTAAAGTTAAAAAAACAAAAAAACCAACAAAAACTTGCATCATACCTTTAGAATTGAATGAGGTAGGAAGAGAACATTTCCAATTAAAATTTTATTTTTTAAAAAAATGAAAGCAGAATTAATTTGTTCCAGATCACGTAAGAAGAATTATTTTCACAATTGAGCTAGGAACACAGTGCTTCACATAATAAATGATTCTTCTATTTCATGTTAACTCAAAAAATAAATGGAAAAATATGCTCAGTGAAGCCTTTGTACATTTGTTATAATGTAAGGGCATGATTTTTAGTACAGGGATTACTTTGTAATGTTTACTTTGGCATAAAATGAACATTCTAATGCTCTATCCCAGGTTCTTGGTTAATTCAGATAATAGAGATGACTGGATTAAAAAAATTTAACATTGTACTCCATTTTGAAACCACCACTTTGTCGATAATAATTTTGGAAATTTATGTTATTAAAAACTCTGATCTTTTAGGCTTGTCTATACCACCAGCAAAAGTCCTCACACTCCCACGCTGTGTAAATGTTTGCAGTTCTGGAATTCATTAGATTAGAAGAGATATGGAATAAGAAAAAGAATATAGTGACTTTCTCATAGAGCTGGATATATAGAATTGAAATATTGAATTTTATTTTGGTATAATGCCTTTCTAATTTTTTAGTTAAATAAAGTAATAGTAATTGGAGACATCATGACATTTGTTTGTCCTTCTCTAGAAAAATAAACACCTGACAGCATTTTACCCAGAAGCACCTTTTTAGTGCTGTATGGGAATACCATTACTTCTAATAACTAATATATATTCAACATGTGCAAAACTATCTTCAGATATACATACAAAGTTATCTTAATATATACAGGTGTCATTCATTTTCAAAATGGCCTTTGAAACAATATTCTCTTCTCTTTACCAGTATATAAAACTTAACTTTCAATTAGCAAGGCTCTTAAATAAAGTTTGATTTTCACTCAATTCACCAATTATTTTACATTAATTCCCCTATATTACATTACCTTAACTATAAGCTCAAATGGTTAAAATTAAATAATGTCTAAACTTTTGCCCAAAATATTCAAAATAAATCCCTCCTCATGTTTTAAATTATCCCATGAATATAGTATATATTTAAGTGATTCAAGCGTCAAATTAAGAAACCTAAGAAATTTCTAGGATAGTTCTCACTGCTAATTCTTGGCAAAACAAAATATTCAATGATGCTGGTTTTCAACATTGTCATTCGTTTTCAAAATGTCTACTATTTTATAATTATTTTCATCTTTACTCCAAATATCTAGTACTCCAATCTTGTCCTTGGTTTTTTGTCTTCCCTCAGCAAAGTGATTCACAACCTTGAATTATTTTACCTCCATGTTCTAACTTTTAATTAGGGAGACTCCCTAATTAGCTCTTTAACATAATGTTGGGATTACAGAGTGACTTCAGTGATAATAATTACGGGTATTCTGATATACCCAGAAAAGTGGATATTTGAAATGGGACAGACTCTCAGTTCTGATTTGAACTGTGTTCCCCGAAAAGATATATTTAAGTTCCAATCCATGCAACTGTGAGGGTGACCTTGTGTGGAGGGATGAGGTTTTCCCTTTCCGATGTCATTAGTTAAATTAATGAGATCATAAGAGAGTAGTGTGAATTGAATCAAAGAATAGGCATGGCAAGAGAACCACATACACATGGAGGAAGATGCTGTATGGCAAAAGAGATGGGTGTATGTATTAGCAGCAATGGAGCACCAAGGAATACCAGTAACTACTAGATACTTCTTTGAGAATATTTCAGGAACGTGAGCTTTATGGCAGTGAGGAGGCATGGAACAGTTCTTTACTCAAAGACCTCGGAAGGTATTGGCATCCCTTGCCCCTGAATATGGACTTATAACCTGTAGAACTCTGAAAAAATAAATGGCTGTGCTTTAAACTCACCAATCTTGCACTATTTTGTTATAATAGCCCTAGGAAAGTCAGACATCCTAATCCTCAATTTATAGTCCTGGGTGGTGCAAATGGCTGACAATCTCAGCTACCAACCAAAAGGACAGAAGATCATGTCTGTAGAGTTTGTTGATATACTGCTAAAAAAGCTGCCACTGAAAACCTTGTAAGTACATATTAGGATCAACTTGCTAGAAACTGAAAAAAAAAAACCTTAATTCAATACCATGCTGAAAACCACTATTCTGTACACATATCAATCATCTAACTTCACTGTCACTATATCAATTATCTAACTTGTCACTATTTCAGTGGAGAGTAAAAAGGGTATTGTACTTCTACAGTGACAAATGATCTGGGTTTGTTTGCTTTTTTAAGTCAACATGATAGAATTCACAATAGAAGTTAGGCATTATTCTTCTGTCATTTGGTGTATTTTCTGACTAAAGCTGTGCATATATTTTAATTTCAAAAATAATTGGTTTTTTTTCATGAAAAATAATTCTATACTGCCTTGTAAGAACATCAATGCAACTTTTTTCCTCTTTTTTCAGATGGAAAATGCAAAATCACTCTATTATTTCTGACCATTATAATTGTATTTATGTATCTCATAATTATTATAATTGTATGTATGTATCTTTCTTAGAGAAAAACTCACAATTTTGAAAACTCATGTCATGGGTCATTTACATAAGACAAGACATGTATACACTGCATACTTTGTAAATGTCATATTGGGATTCCAAATGAAAATCTAACATTTGTGTGAAAATTATTTTTACCTTGCCATACATTTTTAGAAGCTATTTCTGCATATTGGAGTCTAGATCATTTTTCTGCTACAGTAATTTCAAGGATATATGCTCAAATAAGCCATATGGCACATTTGTGATTTAAAATGACAATTCATCTGCTCACTCATCCTCAGACATAACTGAGGTTATAATTCCTGGTTATAATGCTTGAGAGCCAATACCTTTGCTTTGTTCTAATCCTGAAGACAACACAATATGCAGTGCACTTACTTACCATCTCCAACCTCAAAGTCTTTGAAAGCCAGTTCTGATCCAGAATCATCAAGAAGGATTTCCCCATTCAGTGTGAACATCATGGTATGCTCATTCATATCAACCATGCACCCCACTACATCGCCTGCTTGCCAAGAGCGCCCATAATGCTCATTTCCCTGGTGCCACCGCTGAGCCTAGAAGGAAGAAGGGCCACGTGTCATGAACAATTAACACTCACTAGGAAAACCCACTACCAGACCATACTGTTTACATGGCAGTAGCATGAACTCTTGCCAGCCCATCCATCTATTACAATGTCCTAAGGGGTACAGAGTTGTCTGGGAATGTTCATTAAATATTGAGAAAAAGCAAATGCTGCTTCATGATTTTGAGAGTCTACCTTTTTTTTTTAAAATCTAACTTTAAATACATTATATTAAAAGAAAAAAATACATAAAGAATTTTCTTGTCTGTATGGATTGTTTTTCTTTCATTGCACACATTGAAAAAGTCTAAACTAGGAATCAAGAAGAAAATGACATTCTAAATTCCATCTATTTCAAAATACATGCTCTCTACTCATAATCAGTGAACTGGTTTCCAAGACCCCATCTTTATGTGAAAATCAACATTTTGTGAAAATAGAGGATGAATACATATGACTAGAAAATGGAAGATGATTGCATCAGTATGTAACTTCTAAAACCATTATTATATATCTGACTACTTATATTATTACATAATTGCAAATACATCATTACAAACTACTGAAAATCATGGCCCAGTTGAAACGCAACCTCATCCATTCCAGGTGGCATTACTCTTAATCTGTATCTCAGTGTTTGTTACTGCCAGATGTACATAATTAATGTGAAATAGTCAGATAGCAGATTGTTTACTATTATAATAAATATGAAATATTGTATATCAAGATAGTTGATAAGTGAATACAGAATGTATTATTAACCTAATGTGTGTGTGTGTGTGTATTATCACACCCACTGCCATGGTCAATTCTGACCCATACTAACCCTATATAGGTGTCTGAATCTACATATCTCTCTGGGAACAGCTTCATCTTTCTCTTGCAGAATTTTTTAGCCATTGACCTTTCAGTTAACAGTCAAACACTTAATAGCAACAGCAGGACTCCTTATATTTAACCAAAAAAATTTTAATCAATATACATATATGTAGCAAGACATGTGTATACATACATGTATGTCCACAAACTTTAAATTTTTATTTCATAGTATTTTAGACATATAAAATAACCTTTGCTATTTATGAAATATATGAGTAAATAAACAGTTTAACAAAGAGAAATTACTAATAATGATGACATTGAAAAAAAATTGTGATTATAAACAATATTGTCTTAAATTTTCTTGTGACTTTTAACTCCTTATACAGATTAATTACTGCTTAGAGATAACATATACACTAAGAAAATGTTTTTTGATACCATAGAGAGGCATTGTTTTAGTTCTTGAATTTTCCACTGTTTGTGAGATGAAGAAAATACCTTCAGAGCACAAAGACACCGGTTTGCTAATAAATTATATTTCCAATTTTGGTCTCTAGAGTCCTGACATTATTAATACCAGGGAGAACCCAGCAATGTCAGGGAGGTGGGCTGGGGAGGTGATGACGGGGGAAAGACAACACTTTTGTGCCTCGGTCACACTTACTCACTCATTGTTTTCAATTTGATTCTGATACACAGAGACCCGATAACGGCCCCCGTGGGTTTCTGAGATTGTAACTGTTAACAAGAATCGAAAGCCTTGTCTTTCTTCTCCCTGGAGCACAAGAGCCTGAACATGTACATTCTAGAAATGTGAAGCCTACTTCACTGCAAACTCCACTCACCTTAAAGCCATCAAAGGCAAAAGCATGTTCATCAGAGCCAAGCTCCTGATCAGGTTGACAAGCTGGCCGGCTCCAGCCAACTCTCATGTCTCCAGCAGTGACAGTCTCAAATTCAAAATACCACCTTCCTGCCTTGACAGAATAGGTCTTCTCAGCCCGGAAGATTCGGAACCTTTCTCCTGTGCCACTACAAACTTCAGCTCTGGCAGCTGTGGATTTTAAAAAGAATCTGGTGGTCATTGGATGCAACAGCAAAGAAGGGAAGATATATCTGCCAAATACAACAAACGCAGTGCCGTCTAGTCAACTCCAACTTGGTCACCCTTCAGGTAGAAGTGCCCTATCACAGAGTTTAGAAGTCTGAAAATCCTTTTGGAAGCAAACTGACCTATCTTTCTCCTGAGGAACTGTCAGGTCCAGTCACTAAAGAACTAAAGCTTAGTTCTTTAACCACTATGTCATTAAAACTACAGTGATGATATAGATACCTCCTATTCTTATTTTGTTTCAGATTTTACAAAGTGTTGTCATACAGTTGATCAGCATGGTCCGAACTAACTAAGTTGAGGAGGGGCGCAGTTGAAGAGACTGGTGACTAAACATCAATAACATGTAACGTGGTGTGGTTAATGCTGCCATCAGTAGCCCTTGTTGGAGGGAGCTGATTACTTTTTAAAATTTCTTGGATAGTTTTACTGTTTTTTTATGGAGAATACTAATACATTAATTGGTAGCTTGGTATTATTGGAAGCTGAAATAACCTTAGGGAATTAATTAAAAAGAGGCAATTCAAAATTGATCTAGACTCTTCTAAATAAGAAATTAGTAGACATGTACAAGTGAAGGAAGAGAGGGAATGAGAGTAATTATATAGAAGAAAGCTTAATTACAGTTTTAGCATTGATTTGATAGGGCCAACACAGAACGTTAAAAGTAGTCTAAGCTCTACTAGTCACTAATACACACAGAGTTATATCATATATATAATTATAAGGTTAGACTAAGGTAAAGATAAAATGACTTAAGAAGTTCTACTATATAATAGGAGCTTATGTTCATAACTGCATTGTGAAAATGTGGTAGTAAAGATAGAGCACACACAGCTGAACTACATCTGTGGATTAATGTTTCAGATAGTGTGGTTAAGTTTCTGAATAAGCAATATAGCACTTTCTATTTCCCCCATACGTATAAAAGCATGGATACCGGACAGCATGGCAGCTCCAGCTGATGCTTATTTTCTAGTAATGACAGATTTGTATTTGTATTTGTAGTCAAAACACTGCCTTATGCACATATACGTGCAAATTGCACTTACATGCCCTACGATACATTCAAATACTTTAGTGTAAGCTAAATACATTAACAGAGTTAAACATTTTTAGACATATAATACTATGTTGAATATGTTCAAATGCTGTGATGAGAGAAGATTGGCTTTTGAAATATTCAAATACAATATTTCTTAACAGCTGAGATTTTTTAAAGATAGGCTAGTAAATTACTTTCTGAGGAAAAATATACCATCATATTTTAGGATATTTAAATAGTTACCTATGATTAAGATAATCATAACTCCTGCAATACTTAAAAAACACAAGAAAAGTCACATTTTCATTCAGTTAGTATTTTTTTTAAATACAGCATTCTAATCCATTCTTTCTCAAGATCATGAGTGTATCTGCCTAACTAATCCAGAAGACAGACAGAGGTTATGAGTTACACAGATATTTGAAGATATTTTCCAGGGAAGAGAAAAGTACTCAGGCCATTATTTTTTTTATTAACATCAATATTGGCAAATAAAACTTTACATTATATTCTAGAACACATGAATAGATTCAATTCTCATTTCTTAAGTATGAAACATTCAAGCTTTTAGAAAACTCAACAATTGGAAAAGCCCTACTTATGTTTCTATGGCATAATTTCCATAGTGATGTACACTGTGATCAAGGAGGCAAAAACATGTTAATATTAGAATAAGTCAAATATTTTGAAAAATATATTTTACCTAAAAGACACAACAGACCACTTTTTCACCAGCCCATTATAAATTTCCTTTAGTGACAGGAGAAATATGAGGCTCCCTGCTCCTACGAAGCTTTATTGCTTTGGTAACCCTGAAGAGGAGTTCCACGGTACCTTCTAGGGTTACTTTGAGTTGGAGTCAATAGGATAGCAGTGGTTATTTGGGGTTTTCTTTAACACTAAGATATACTTCTAACTCACTTTAATTGCAATTGGCAACAAAAATTGGGAGGACTACATAGAGAATGAGTAGTGATAAGTAACAGCGAGACTGAATTTTTCTGTCCTGATACTTTTTTGTTATGTTGTGTTTTTCTTGCCACTAAGCTGCTGCATTCATTGAAGATCTACAATCTAGGCTTGACATGAAAATGTTATTCACAGACATCATCATGAAAAGGATTTCACAGTAATTTACTTTTTACATCATTATTTAACTTTCATGGATCTCCATGTGAATGTCTATGTAGTTCGTACTATACAATCTATAATATTTAGGTCACTCTAGGGAAGTTTATGAGCACAACGTAAAGAAGCAGGTGGTCACTATTCTGGTTTTTCAAAAAGTCCTAATGTTAATGAAAATCCTAATATGGTTTCCCAGTCTCATCCTTTACTGTACTTACTCTGTATTTCAATTAACTAGACTATTAAATCAGGGGGGAAGTGAGGGTTTCCGTATGCCCATCAAAATGTTTAGTCTTGAGAACTCACAGAGGCCATTCCATTCTGCCCTATCAGGTCTCTGTTAGATGGAATATATTTAATGCAGTCAAGAGTGAGTGTCTGCATCTATTCACCTCCTCCTACAGTCTATGAGTGGCACAAACAGGTAAGCACCTGATTCCTAACTGAAATGTTATAGATTTTAATTCACCCAGTGGTGTCTGAAAAAAAAAGGGGGTTGGTGATGTACATCTGAAAAATCACAGCTATTGAAATTCTTCTTAATACAATTAAATGATTAAATTTCATGATATATGAAGCACATAATGATGGTAATATAATTGAAAAAGGAAAGCGTATCGAAAACAGTTCCATCCTGATATACATAACCAAATGGTTTTCTACTTTTTCACAAGATAAGGTAAAATAAAGGGTTAAATAGTGTAAATATAACTCTTATTTTTAACTCTATAATTTACTGAAACATTATTATTAATGGTAACATTATTTTTAACTAAGTCTATATTTTATCATATCATATGGAAATTCTTTCTTACAGGAATCTCTACTTGCTGATATTCTGATCCCTTCAATTTCTAACTCACATGATTTCTGTTCCTTCACTGATTCTGCCAGTAGGATGATCAATATTTCTTTCTCTTTTTTTCATTAAAAAAATTGAACTCTTCCCATGAGGTAGGCATGCTCTCTTGAATTCCAGGACACAGTGGTGAATCTCTATTATGGAATATATACCACCCATTGCTCAAATACATTTATTAAGATAGCTGGTCAATTAATGGTCAGTAGCTTTATTTGATTAACTTTTTTTTCCCTCTGTTCTCAAGTTTTTAAAATACAAAGACTTTGACTCTTCCAATTCAATGAACAAAAAATTCATTTTGGCTTCCATTTTCATCTGTACATCTTCCTTTACATCTTTCATCTAACATCTTGCTCTGTCATCCTCACTTGGTACACGAACCTCAATCTTTGTCATATTTCACTGTCTTCATTCTCAGCATTTATACCTGCTCTGCTGCAGATTGATGAAAAACATGCATACGCACACATACAGTGGCACCAATATTAGCTCATAGTCTCCAACCTCAATTGTTAATGTCTCTGCAGTCTCAATCTGTTTGAAATCTGCTTTGCATCCATCTCTCAAAGAACCTGTTTATCAAGGGCAGGAGACGAGCCAGTCAGGGTGCAGTTTAACCGATGAAACATACCTCTTTCCTCTAGTTCTTTAATGCTTCCTTCCCCCCATCATAACTCCAATTCTGCCTTACAAATATGGCCAGACCAGAGCATGTACACGGGTACAGATAAGAGCTGGAAATGCAGGGAATCCAGGACACATAAAGCTCTCAAGAATGATACTGAGAATAGCCATAACAGGAGGGGAAGGGAAAGGTGGGGAAGAAAGGGGAACCCATTACAATGATCTACTTATAACCTCCTCCCTGGGGAACAGACAACAGAAAAGTGGGTGACGGGAGACATTTTTCAGTGTAAGACATGAGGGGGAAAAAAGTTATAAATTATCAAGGGCTCATGAGAGAGGGCAGATGGTGGAGGGAGGGGAAAAAATGAGGAACTGATACCAAGGACTCAAGTAGAAAGAAAAAGTCTTGAAAATTATGGCAACAAATCTGCAAATGTGCTTGACACAATGGATAGATGGATTGTGATAAGAGTTGTACAAGTCCTTGTAAAATGATTTTTAAAAAGATTCTGTCTATAATGTTTACATCATTATGACACAAAGGAAAAGAAAAACAAGAACAAAAAATTCCAAAGATCCTATTCTCTAAAAAAAAAAGGAGCACTCTAGCAAATTTGTAAAAATTAACTTTTGCAGAACTCAGGAAATCCATCAGTGGCCTATAGCAATCCAGGAACTCCATCCAAAAAAACCCAACAGAATCTAGGCAGTAACAGTGACTTTTGGGGCACTTCAAACTTGATTTTATCTCATTTCCTGTTTTTAGATGCTTGAGACCACTAGGCCCCTCTATCACAATGTAAAGGGACAGAATAGAATAAAAGTTCTTCCAAATCCTAATTCCATGGTAACTGTCTGGATTTGTACTTTTTATTTGAAAATCAATTAATAAGACCTACCACCCACCCACCTTTTCTATGGAAGCACTAGAGAGGATAGGTTGTAAGCAATTGAAAAGTTATGCATGTTTGGGGTGACAAAAGCAATTGATAATTGTTAGGGTAATCAACCATTTGACACTAAAAGGGCAACATTAATTCAAGATCAAAATTCCGATTAGGAATTAAGGAGGAATGGAAAACGAAAGCACAGGGGGTAAGTGGAATAGGTGGTGTTACATTGAGGGGACTATAAAAAATGAGATGAAACAAATGCTGATCAAAACCCTTAAAAAGGAAAGCTGAAGAATAAAATGCTCATAGAAAACTATGAAAAGGTCCAACATAATCTTGATCCTAGGCAGCCAGGTACACAAGCGTCCTGAGCTATATACATGACCAA